TTTTTTTGGTATATATTTTAATATTATATTAATCTTTAATATATTGGTAGGCCGATATTTGTACGATTATATATATCCTGTTTATATCTTTAACCCAATGTGAGAATGTTTGTTTTATATACATCGCCTTCATATCATCCTATCATATAAAAAAATTTCGACCAGTGATATATAATTACCTGGCTAGTAATCGATATATATCGGTCTATTTTTTTTGCTGATGATGGTAATGTAATAACTATAAAATATAGTACTACTGTATTGATTTAAAAGTTAGCCTATTATATATATTTGAGTATCAAAAAAAATTTGATTTTGCCAAGTACTAATTATTATTAATAAATTAGTAAAAAAAACTTTTAAAAAAAATGTAATATAATAGTATTATGATTGTAATTATATAAAAGTATTTTTACTATTAAAAAAATGCCTATATTATTCAGAACTCTTTCTAACGATCTCTTATACCAAAAATTTCTATTAATACTAATCTGCAAAAATTGTATAATTAGTATATTTTCTTATAACAAAGCTTTGCCAAATAGTATTTAGGTTCAAGAGCTTTAGATTATATATAAGTATTATAAAATAGAGTTGAAAAAGACAGCTTTTTGTAGATTTGGCTCTCTGGTAAAAGTTTATAAAAATATTGAAAAAGTAACTTTAGTAACAACCAAGAAAGTTCTTGTCAAGTTATATCTAAGCAAAAGCAAGAGTAGAAGCTCAGATGAATATACTATTCTATATAATATAAACTTATTTTGATATATACTTTGACTTGTCTTTTTTAGTTTTCTTTATTTTTAAAATTTTAACAAAAGTAGAGAGTTTGACTTATCCCTACCAAAAGATTAACAATATTTATTTAATCCAAATTGAAAATATATTCTCCAAAATATATATCATGTAATATAAGGTGTTTGTTTTGGTAAACAATTGAGTAATACACAGATAAGTAAATAGATGATAATATAGATGTAATTGAAAGAACATATATTAAAATTTTAAATAAAGTTGATATTAAACAGTTGGTTCCCTATAGAAATACTAAGTTTTTTTTATTTTTACTTTTTATATAAAATACATAACAGAGTTAGAATAGAGACTTCTAGTTGATAGTATTTTATAATTTTTATATATAATCCTGTATATATTTATTATCTAGTTTACATTTTAGCTTTGTTAAAATACCTGCCTTGTTCTTTTTATCTTTGTTATTTTGTTTCTTTTCTTTTTTCTTTCTGTTTTGATTTTTTACTTTGGTTTGTTGTCTAGATTTTGTTAAATCTACTTTTTTTTTTCCTTGTTTTTTTTTTTTCTTCTCTTTTATAAAATATTCTGCTATAATAGTTTGATTAGATATAGATGTAATATCATATTCAGTAACTTATATTGAAGAAATCTAAAGTTAGTTCTTGACAGAGCTAACAAGGTCTCTCAATTTATATGTGAGTTGGTGTGACAAGTCACATCTTGACACATGTATTGCAGCCAGGTGATATTAATACTTACAAATTCAAAACCCCTCTTTGTTTTTGCTTGTAATGTTTTATTACTATCAAAATAAAAACTTGAAAACTAAGCTTTGGTGAGACTATCAAAGAATTAAAAAAAAAAAAAAATGTCTGTATAAAATTATGTGATTACATGGAGTTTGTAATTATATAGAAGGTAATTGTATAGGAGAATGACTGTATTTGTTTTCATTCAGTTAAATTTAAAAGCTTTTTAGTAAAGACCTAAACTAGAAGTATTTTGGGAAGATATTTTTTCTATATTTGACAGATAATGAAATTATAGCAAAAATTTAAATTGACAAAATCATTAAAAGGAGGTGCCAACGCAACTAAAGTTGAAACTTCGGCAGTTGGTCGAAAAGAAATTTTTTATTAGGTTTTTTAGGTGGCATAGTGAAGATTATGAAAAATAGAAAAATTAATTGTAATACTTGAGCATATTCATGATTGAGATGCTTAAGAACATCCTTAGGTTGTTCTCAAGCAGCTCCCTCGATGTAATTTGCAGATGATCAGATACTACTCAATCATTTCGATTAATTGAAATTAGTGATGGGCAATCTTCTGTTTTCTAAAAATCCACACGGGAGGAACTTTACGAAATTGGTCAAAATTTCACCTCTACATATTTCGGAATCACGGCCAGATTTATGACAATTATACATCCCACGCGGGATCCACACATCATGCGTGGTGTCCATCACTAATTGAAGTGATCCTTATCGTTATCGGAAATTTCATTGTACAGAATGCGGTTTTAAATTTTATCCAATCAGAGTAACTCTATAAAAAAAAAAGATGTTAGGTACAGTATTTCTGATCGAAATGATTAGGCACGATAAATTATTTTAGCCAATCGTAGATCCTATTAACCATAGAGTGAAGTGCTTGAGAACACCTTAGTCAGTGAGTATAAGATCATTTATTGTCACAGATTAAAACAAAACGAGGGGTTTCTATTTAACCCTCTAAAACCCACTTATTAAAAAAAAAAAAAAAGTGCATCCCAAAATTTGTATTTTTAATAATCTGATTTCATTTAATCTGATTTATATAATCTGATTTTATTTTAACCTGATTTTATTTCATTTTATAGCGCTTTGCAAAGGTGTGACCTCAGCAGATTATGATATCTGATTCTAAGAGAATTTTCTTCCATTTGCCACGGTATGATGAATCATTTAATCTCGAACTGATTTCATTTTAGTCTGACAGGTAATAATGTTTGGGCTGCCGTCAAAGAAACAGAGACGATATTTAAAAAAAATCAATATCTTAACTTTCAGCTTATATCTCGATGAATTTATCCTCTGATCGCTTTTTCACTTTTCTTATTAATACAGTATTATTATATTATTTATTATTTTTAATTTTGTGTTCAGATCAATAAACATAGTTGCTAACTGATTCAACAAAAAAATTTACTTTTCAAGATTGCCTATGTTTACAAATTATAATATTAGACATGTAATTATTACAAACTAAAAAATTGTAAAATTTTGCATCATCAAGAAAAAAAAAATCCCAGAGAATAGAGGTCCAATCCGGATAAATATATCCATTTACTATTGGTATCCGGATAATCCGAAAAATATTCGGATAATTATCCGGATATCAATAGTAAAACGGATATCCGAATAAATTCAGATCTGGATATCCAATAGATAAATGGATAGACGGATAATGGATAGGAACTCTAATAAATAGAATAATAAAACTTTTATTGTAGTTGCCTAAATCTAAGTTGGTTGATTATTATTAGAAATTAACATATTTTAATTCTCAATCGTCAAGTTGGTTAATTGAATAAAAACTTTATTGATTGTTTTTATTGTACTAATTTAGTGTACTCAAGTTATTAATTTAAACAAATAAAAATTTAAACCTTATGTAACGGTAAGAGGCTAAAATACGCATAATTTTCAATAGTAAAATTTTATATTTAATAATCAAAACTGTTCAAACTGTTTAATCCATTCAATAATATATAACAACTTTGTACACGATATATGTGAGTGGTCGATTGAACTGTTCGAATACGGTTTTGATCTTGTGTAATCCGTATCACAATGTCGCGTGAAAATTGGAGATTCTGTAGATTTTAAGAATCTTATCGATTTCAAATAAATATAAATGAATTAATAGACAATCTAGAATCTTGAAAATTTTCCTCTTTCATCATCACAAAAATTATGGGGTCACATCTTTTTGCAAAGCGCTATAACTGTATAATATGTAAATAGAGTATATTGCATTAATTTCTGAAATTTCGGAAGTATGTAAGGTTAACAAAGCTTATCAGTTATAAAATTTAGGTTTAAAAGTGGAATGTCTTTAGCATTAAGGAATTATTCTTTTTTCAAGATACGATTCATCATAGATTATATGAAATTTTTTTTTTTCATTTATAAACTATATTGCAGATAGTACATGTTTGAGATTTATTATCATACTTTTAAAACCAATATCTTTCTAATATGTTTATTATATTAAGAATTTTGACGTTCTGGCCTGTAAAAATTTTGAAAATTATAATTTATAAACATAATAAAGTAAAGAATACGAGTTTTTTTTTGAATTCAAAACAATAATATTAGAAGTTAAAGATTATGAAAAAGATGAAGGGAAACGTGTTTATTTGAAAATAACAAGTACATGATTCGAGTAGAAATAACGTCAAAAAATAGTATTTCATTTTATTAATTAAATTTATAAATTTATTATTGTTATAATTTTTTAATTTGCGCAAATTATTTAAACTAATTAATACCAACAGGAGGAACCTTCACCCGGTGTGCATCATATAAAAAAATTAATTATAATACCAGATTATTGTCTTAACATTTTGAATATAAGTAATAAAAGTCAATAATACGAATGGCGATATTATTAAGATATACTCAACAATAGATTTTACAAAAAATGCGAGTCGATAATGAAAATTCATAATAAAAGTAAGAAAACACTTGAACAATACTTTATTCACTTTGACTGTAATGATAAACTCACTGTTCATTTTTTTACTTTTAAAATTTATTATTTCATGTAATTAGATGATATAATTTATTTTATACTTAAAAAAACATTTAAAAAAAACAAATATTCTTAAATATCATTTGGAACTTCTATACCAACAGATTTACTAAGTTTTAGTTTTGATAATCTTTCACTAATTTCCAATGTGTTAAATGGTTTACTTGTATATATATTGTTGAATTTTTCTTTGATTATTGGTAAATTTTCATTGATCTTATCACTTTCTAAAAATTGCTTTTCAATTTCAGTTTTATCACTTTTATCACTTTTATCAATAAAAATGCCTTTAATTTCATCAAAAAAAATTTCAAAATTTTCTTCATCATAATATTCGTCATAATCATCATTTACAAGTTTTAACCATTCATTTAATTTAGTAATAATTTCATTAGTAGTTGGCCGTTTTTCTGGATTTGAATCCATGCATCGATTTGCTAATTCAACATAACAATTAGGTGTTTTAATTCCAAATTCTGGTCGCAATCCTTTACAAATCATAATTACAAGATCCATATCAAATTTATAACTATCAAAAGGTCTCTGTCCAGTTGTCATTTCTACCATGATGATTCCAAATGAATAAATATCTGCCGCTTGAGTGTACGGTTCCCTTTGAAAAAGCTCTGGAGCAACATAAGGCAAGACGCCATGAATATGTTCTTCATGTTCTTTCTCATCAAGTGGTTTTGATAAACCTAGATCGGTAATATATGCTTCGTAATCTTCTTTTAACAAGATATT